TCATATTGCTCTCATCACAGCGCTGGTGGGAATCTGGATGCTCATGATGTCTCACTGTTACAGTGGTCCAGTGTTGAGGAGATAAAGGCGTGGACGAGCTTCTCTGTGTCCGACAGGGTGGAAGTGGGCGGAGTTTGGAGATGTCTTTGAGGTGATTGACGGGTTTTGCGTGGTAGATGGTGGAGGAAGAGGAGGGTCAAAGTGAGTAGTGACTGGAGGAGATGGTCAGGAGGACGACTGAACCCGCCGTGGACAACGGAGGGCTTCGGTTCAGCTTCTGACTAGCAGGAGAAAGTTGTCGCTCATCTCAGGAAGAGCGGCGGCGCCACGACACACGTCAGGTCTTCACCTTTTTGTCACCACGTCTTTATTTACACGCCGTCGCTGGAGAGCACAATGTTTCTCCTAACGGGGCGAGTAAATATACAGGGGAAGAGTTCGGCTCACGGGTGGTACGGGGGTCTCCTCTCTCTGGATGTCTCTTCTCACATATGTGGTTTCCCTTCTGCTGCTTTCTGCTCAGCCAGATGCTCTGTGAGCGAGTCGGAGGAGAAACGATGGCTGAGATGAAGTAGGAGGCTTCTCACTGAGGTTTGACAGTGTCAGCGGGTTTGAGGCTCGGGATGTGATCTAAGATGTGTTACGGACTAACAGCTGGAATCACTGGACTCCCGGTCGCCATCCCATAATGACCTCCGGCCCCATTAGCCGCGCTGTGCTAAGCTAGGTTAGCCACCTGCTGGTACAGGTGTAATACTCACAGTGATGAATGTCGATGTCCTGATGGCTACGAACATCGCTTTTCCTTTTTGTAAGATATCGTTGCACATTTTTACAGCAAATAAATCTTTTCAGAAGATGTTAAAGTAATTTCTTCTAGTTTTGGGCACCTGGATGTTTCAGTGTGGGTTCGTTTGCTGTCAGAAGCCGGAGTCGGCGCTGACATCAAAGGTGGAGAGTCACAGTCGATCTCCTCCATTTGAAGCGCAGGATGAGAAATGAAACGGGTTTGGGTTTGTTTGTTGGCGGGCTTCTCTTTCTTCTTCAAAGGCGAGACCGGCGCGCTGACCTTTCCACCTCCCAGGAGGTCAGCGTCCGCTTGAAAGCACGTTCGTGGCAGAGATGCTGTCGGTCAAAGCTCAGCGACGGGCTTCTTTAGATCACGTCTTGTTCCGTGGCTAATCGAAGTTAGCATGCTAACCAGCTAGCCCTGTGCTGGTCTGTAGTACCACTCGTAGCCTGTGTGCAGATTAACTTTGTATGTTCACAACCAGAGGATTCCACCTGTTTAATATCTAATGTTAAAGATGTGATAATCAGTAAAAGACCTCCGATGACCCCAACAGGCCACAGCCGCTGTGCTGGAAGTTTAAAATTAGTTTTAATTCTTAATACTAACGCAGCAAAACTCTGAGGACTGCAAGAAAATCTCCCTGTTGCTCAAACTGAGAAAAATCAAATGTTCTTTACAGAAACGGAAAAGTGACGCGTGCACGTCAGGAATAAAGTCTGCTTGTGCGAAGCTGTTGACGGCGTTCATGTAAAAATCCCGTCGAATGAAACACGCAGACCATCACGTGACGACACGTTCAGCTCGTCCTCCCGTGTGACTCCACGCCACCGAGTCCCAGTGGAAAGCTTCCAGCCTCCATTAGGTACCTTTGGTTTAATGCGCATGCAGAGTGCACTCGGCCTCCCCCGAACACGGCAGCGGGACAATAGCGGTCTTATGGGGTCGTCATGGCGACGGAACAGAAGCTTTCCTTCGGGGTTGTTTGCATTAACCGAGCAGCTGACTCTTTTTGAGGTGAAATCCATGAAAACAAGAACAGGCCGCCGGCTGCGGCGCGACAGACTTACTCGCGCTCACATGACCTGTAGCTCCCTCACAATGCGCCCGCTGTGAGCTCCTAATCAATGCGGATGATCTAATCAGAGGTGAAAGTCGCTTCCGACCGGAGGGACTCAGCTGACAGACTTTCCGCTGGAAATAAAGCGCAGGCTTCTTCCCCTGCGAGACTTTGTGAGGTTTCATTTCAAAAGGAAACAATCCGGCCTTTTATGTTCTGCTCGATGAGTCGTGCACGGATTGCTCAGCTAAGCGTCTCCATGGTGACCGACGAGAAGCTGCAGGGAGGAAGTGCTTCCAGTGGGATTCAGGGCAAAATGCCCTTTTTAGGAGGTGCACTTCCTGTCAGCTGACTGCCACAGGAATGTTTCCCACAATGCTGAGGGAAACACAAGCGTAAACAACAACAACATTTTGTGATTCTTTGATTCATTTACAGGAATCATGTCTGAAGGCGTGTTTGGAATGCGTTGGTGCGCGTTAAAGGTGTGTTGGAGGCGTGTTGAAGGCGTGTTAAAGGCCTGTCGAAAGGCCATTGGAGGCGTGTTAGGAGCGCGTTAAAGGTGTGTTGGAGGCGTGTTGGAGGCATGTTGAAGGCGTGTTAAAGGCGTGTTGATGGTGTGTTGGAGGCATGTTGAAGGCGTGTTAAAGGCCCGTCGAAAGGCCGTTGGAGGCGTGTTGGAGGCATGTTGAAGGCGTGTTAAAGGCCCGTCGAAAGGCCGTTGGAGGCGTGTTGGAGGCATGTTGAAGGCGTGTTAAAGGCCTGTCGAAAGGCCGTTGGAGGCGTGTTACGAGCGCGTTAAAGGCGGGTTGGAGGCGGGTTGGCGCGTGTTGAAGGCGGGTTGGAGGCGTGTTGAAGGTGTGTTGGAGGCGTGTTGAAGCGTGTTGGGGGGGTGTAAAGGGGGGAACAGGAAGGTGAAGCACAGGCTGCTGGGTAAATATTGACACCGACGATCTGCTCAGTTGTTTTTATGGCCTCTGCTGGCAATTATTAATCAGTCACTAAAGTAACGTTAACTGTTAATCTTACACATGGGATTAAAAAGGTCTGCAGTGAGATTGGATTTATTAACACTATTAATACTCGCATACCGGTTGAACGAGGCCTGTACCGGTGGGGAGGGTTCCTTTAGATGACGAGCACGCTTGTCAATCATGCTCCTTTTATTCTGGAGTTTCATTCACATTTCATTACACATTCTATTGTGTCTTCATTTCCATCCATTGATCCGTGTTGTCGTCGTCTCGCCTGTCATTAATAAATGCTTGAAGTTGCATCTGATTCCTTTAAAAGCTGCTCTGTGAATTTAACTATTGATGGATTGATTGATTGATTATTTATACATAATGAGGCCTTCTGTCTCTGCCTGCAGGTGTTTACTCATTAAACACTAGACACTAGAAACCAGGACAAAGAGTCTCTGTTTGTGTGTCTGTCTGTAACTTAAAGATCAATTTAGCTGAGGAGGAAAGTTTGGACCTTTTCTGAAGCCGCGTTGCGTCTATAAAGAGAACAAACCCAGAGGAAACAAGGAATCCGTAGTACAGGTAGACAACGCAAAGACACCTGTTGAGCTTTTATACGTGAGGAAAAGCCCGGCAGTGGAAGAAGAAGCCGGGGATCTTTGTATCGACCTGTTAGGAGGCTTCATCTGATCTTATCTTGTAAATGTCACACTGGGACCAGTTCAGAGTTCCCCAGCAGGCAGCAGACGTTCTATGGATTCATCTCGCAGCGTTCCTCAGGACGTCTGGATCTGCTCCACCTCTCACAGGTCGCTTGTTCTCGCAGCGTCTGAACGTTGAACATAGAACGTCATGTATGTATGATGCTCCTCACGCTACATCTGTAGCTGTAGGAACGTCTCGCTCCTCCTTTCTTCATCTCCCTCGCCGGTGGCTCCTCCCCTCCCCCCAGTGTTCATGGTGACCCGCTGAGGGTCCTTTGGCCCCTCGATGGAGACGTGCTGCGTTTTAGTCCGGTTTGTTCCGGCGACAGAGAACGTGACCCGGCCGGCTCAGTCGGCCCATTAGACGGGAGGAATGCCGGAAGCTCGCCGCATGGACGCCACGTCTGTTGCCGCTCCGCTGAGGCGCACACATCAGAGGGAGGAACACAAAGGGAACACCTAGAAGCGTCCGCTCGGCTGCCCTGCTGTCGCAGCGCGAGGTTTCACGGGCCGCCTGAGGGCCCCTCACAAACACCTGCAGACCTTCTCTGGACGTCTGCTTCCTCAACGTCTCACATGGTGTTTATTCACAGAGCTTATCTCCATCTCCACAGATCGTGTCCAACGTGCTGATCTTCTCCTGCACCAACATCGTGGGGGTGTGCACCCACTACCCCGCCGAGGGCTCCCAGAGGGAGGCCTTCCAGGAGACCAGGGAGTGCATCCAGGCCCGCCTGCACTCCCAGAGGGAGAACCAGCAGCAGGTCAGATCCTCGTGGAGTCCTTCGAAGGGTCTTCAGGGTTCCCCCAGAACCCCTTATGGAGGATCTGCTAAGAGCCGGCAGACACACACACACAGGGTTCTCTTTTCATGTGAAACCGAGAAGCATTAATTACTCCAAGGTTCTCGCCTAGAAGCCCCCTAAGGAACCTGCTTAGGAAATCCTGTGTTTCCTGTGTTTTAATACACTTTCACATTATTATACTATTACAATTACTATTAATATATCAACTATTAACTGTGACAGAGCACATTGTATCTTCTAGTGTTTCCTCCTCTGCAGAAGTTAGAGGCAACATCTCGATATAGACGATGTAATGAAACAGAACGACACGGCAGCCACACGCTTAGAGGACCGATAATGCAATGACACACACACACACACACACACACACACACACACACACACACAGACACACACAGGCTCCGCCTCTTTGCTTACCTTGCACTCGTTAACGTCCCACACTCTCCTGCAGGAGCGTCTTCTGCTCTCAGTGCTTCCCCGCCACGTTGCCATGGAGATGAAGGCCGACATTAACGCCAAGCAGGAGGACATGATGTTTCACAAGATCTACATCCAGAAGCACGACAACGTCAGGTACACACACACGGGGGGAAGAGGGTGATGAACGTGATGAATAGGTGTATATGTATATATATATATATATATATATATATATATATATATATATATATATATATATATATATATTTAATATTCAATGATCATCCTGATCTGGATCATATTCAGAAACTGGGATTAAATTTAAACCCGACTTCATGTGTTTCAACACAAATAGCTGAACTAAACATGGAGCCAAATGAATTCTCTGTGTGTGTAAAAAGGACAAAGAGCCACTTAGTGAAGAATGACGTGTGCGCGAGGACCTGCGTGCACATTTATACCGAGCGCGCGCGCACGATAGATTACGAAAGAAGAAAAACATGTTCTGTGGGAGACGTGCACATCAAGCACCTCACGCACACACACACATACACACACACACACACACAATACACACACACCATACGCACACACACACACACGCAAACACCCCCGGGCTCAAAAAAGGCCTTGTGAAACGTTGCTGTAGCACGACTGTAAAATGCGGCGTGCTGTAATCGGGGAAAATCCAAGGCTGCTGCGCCCCACCCACAAGAGCCCCGGGGGGGGGGGGGGGGGTGCAGGCGTCGCCACGACAACGACAGGCCGCATGCCATTTTTCTCACCTGTCTCCTCCACACAGGATCATCATTATGATGCCGTAGTGTCGTTCAGGATCATGCAACTATTATTATTCATACTAGTACTACTGTTAGTACTACCTGGTACTTAGTACTACTAGTATTACTGCAGGAGAGCAAATGAACGTGTGATTCTTCTACAGAGCAGAGATGTCACCTCTCATTCCAGCATCATGTGTGTGTGTGTGTGTGTGTGTGTGTGTGTGTGTGTGTGTGTGTGAGTGTGTGTGAGAGTGAAGAAGAAACCCGGACCCTCAACACATAATAAGAGGTCTTCTTCATCACTGCTACCTCACGGAGGTCTTTGAGGGTCCCAATCTGAGTTAGCTTAGCATAGCCGGCTGCTCTGCATCTTTTCTCATAAATAGCTCATCTCACCTTTATTCCATCTTTCTGCCCCCCCCCGAACCCCCCCAGCATCTTATTTGCAGACATCAAGGGTTTCACCAGCCTGGCGTCTCAGTGCACGGCTCAGGAGCTCGTGATGACTCTCAACGAACTCTTCGCCCGCTTCGACAAGCTGGCAGCTGTGAGAACGCACACACACACACACGCACACACACACGCAGGTGTGCGATGGGAGCTGCGTGCTGCTTGGCGTTTCCTCCGGACCTCCTGACTCCTTGTCGTCCACCAGGAGAACCACTGCCTGCGCATCAAGATCCTGGGCGACTGCTACTACTGCGTCTCGGGGCTGCCGGAGGCGCGGGCCGACCACGCCCACTGCTGCGTGGAGATGGGCATGGACATGATAGAGGCCATCTCGTAAGTCACTATTCACAATGCGGGAATGTTCTGGTGGGTCGGAAGGCCCGGGGGTCACAAACGGTCCCCTCTCAGGGAGAAGCACTTTATCGCCACAATCCGAACTGACCAGATCTTCCCTTTCACAATAAAAGCCCTGCATGCAGACAGCAGCTGCCTGCGAAGCAAACTGCATGTTGTTGTTACACCCATGAACACGTCATTTAGTGCAAATTGCGCTTTAAGAAAAGAAAGAAAAGAGTGAAGTGGTGAAGGAAAAACCGCTGATCTCTAATCGCTCACTGGGATCATTTATCATCTGTGGGAATTATAATAAATAAAGTCACTTTTTAGAGGAATACGTTCACACCCAAATACCACTGTTCTCTCATTTGGAGCCTTAGCCAGAGCTCCTTGTTTTAACCTGTCAATCAGCGTGTAGCCCGCAATGTCTCCAAAATAAACTTCACAGGAAAAACTTCATCCATCTGCAAAGCGTTATGCTGCACACGGGGTCGCGGGGGTCTGGATTCTGTCCCAGCCAGCTCCAGGCGACAGACGGGGTTCCCCCTGGACACACAACCATTCACACGCGACACCACCGGGCCGCCCCAGGAAGAACTTCAGTAAAGTTTGATCAAATTGTTGCAGGCTGGTCCGTGAGGTCACCGGGGTCAACGTGAACATGCGGGTGGGCATCCACAGCGGCCGTGTGCACTGCGGCGTGCTGGGACTCAGGAAGTGGCAGTTCGACGTCTGGTCCAACGACGTCACCCTGGCCAATCAGATGGAGGCGGGGGGGCAGGCCGGGTAAGTCCCCGCAGTCGGCCGCTCGCTGACCTCAGCGGGTCGCGGCGCGTCAGCGTGTCTCTGTCCTTCCAGGCGCATCCACATCACCAAGGCCACCCTGGACTACCTGAACGGGGACTACGACGTGGAGGACGGGGCGGGGGGCGAGCGGAACGCCTACCTGCTGAAGCACAGCATCGAGACCTTCCTCATCGTGGGCTGCAGCCAGAAGCGGGTACGAGAGGCCGGAAATATTAAAATACATATTGAATATAAAAGCTGAAGGAAACACGTCTTAAACTGTGCGTCAAGTGCTCGTTTTCATTAGTTGAAATCTTTAAACCGGAAAACAATTCTTCACCTTCAATGATCATGAAAAGGGTTTTTCTGTCGTGCTTTAAACAAAGAATTAAAAAGCTTTTTATTTGTCTAAAACTAAAATATGCTTCATATGATATGAATATTTTACGATCTGACCTGCAGAGACTTTGGGTGTTTGAGGCGACACGTCTGGGGGGGTTGAACCCACAGAGCGTCTCCTGATGGGACACACGCGTGGCTCTGGTCCCATGTGGACGCTGGTCATGTGACACGTGTCGGATCATCTGTCATCATGTGACCGTACACGTGGGACCGATGTCAACAGAAACAAGCACATTATTTAAAAAGGAACAGAGATAAATAAGCTAGAAATAATAATGGGACAAAAGACGAAATCCACTTGAAAGTCGAGGCCTTTCCGTGTAACGATGTGTCACATAGTTTGTCAATAGGATTAAAACTGTAAGACCTGCAAAGAAAAGAAAACCCGTTTAGGTCCCGAGGAAACTTTGATATTATTCCACCAGTGGAGCTTTATTTTGAAAGTGCGCCGCCTCGAGGAGAAGCCTGAGCTCCGGCTCCTAAAACGTAGAGGATGTGAGTTCCGAATGAATGGTTGAAACGGAGGACGAGATCGTATGAAACAGACGTTAACGTAGCGGCTCGACGTGAATCCTTTCCAGAAGGAGGAGAAGGCCTTGATCGCCAAGATGAACCGGCAGAGGACCAACTCTGTGAGCCACACCAGCGGCCACTGGACCGACCGGCCCTTCTACAACCACCTGGGGGGCCACCAGGTCTCCAAGGAGATGAAGAGGATGGTGAGCAGCATCAGGGGGGCACGTCTTTAATTTAGCACCAACTTAATTAAGATTTATTGAACTTGATCTTCTTGTTACAAAATGTACCAAAACACTGGTGCAGTCGGGGGTCAAAGGTCACAGGACCTCTCATGTGATTTTGGGCTACAAAAGAAAATTGAATTGAATTGAGAACAAGAAGTTTAAATCTACATCTCATGAACATCCGTCTCTTTTCCTCTCAGGGATTTGAAGACCCCAAAGACAAGTGAGTAACCGACACCGAGCTGAACAAAGGCCTCGTGCACCTGAAGGTCCTCGTGCACCTGAAGGTCCTCGTGCACCTGAAGGTCCTCGTGCACCTGAAGGTCCTCGTGCACCTGAAGGTTCTCGTGAACCTGAAGGTCAAATATTTAATACCAAAATGATGAAGTGCATTAGATCTGATGAACCCTCTGACAGCTTTAGAATACGGAAGTTGGATAAAATGTAATAATAACAAATAAAACTTGTTTTCTAAACGTTTGGCACCACGAAACGTTTGAAGATACCTAAATATATTTAAAAGTAAATAGTAAGAAAAATGATTACAACACGATTATTATGAATGTTGATGATCGTTGATGATGAATTCTTGGTGGAGACCAAAAACGGAGCTAGAAGAAAGAAAATACTGAAGTTCAACGTAGATCAAGTTCTCACTTCATCACAGAAATGAAGATTATCAAATATATCCGGGATCCTAAAGTCCACCAGCAAAGGGATCTTATCTTCTCAACGATTAGTGAAAAACAGCTGACTTCCTGTTTGTACCGGTCCACCGCTGCACAACACGTGCGTCTGATTGACATTTGTTCCTGGTACATGAAAGGAAATGATGTCACAGGTCTCCTGTCGTGTCATTCAGGAACTTCATTTTCAGAAACGCTCAGGAGAACCTGAACCCGGAGGACGAGGTGGACGAGTTCCTGGGCCGCGCCATCGACGCACGAAGCATCGACCGCCTGCGCTCCGAACACGTCAAGAAGTTCCTGCTCACCTTCAGGGAGCCCGACCTGGAGAAGAAGGTGAGGACGCACGCACACACACACACACACACACACACACACACACACACACTGCAAGAACAGCAGCACATCAGGACGGGCTGGAGAAGAGAGGGCGGAGCTCACTTCCCTGGAACGAGCGTTAGGAAGTGAGGAAGATCTCAGCCTTCAGTCCACGGACTCTTCTTCACTGGGTGGAAGCAGTTCTGTGAAGCGGCTTCAAGAATACGTCCACTAACCCACAAGAAGAGCCGAAGGTCTCCCAGCATGCTGTTCATTGACTCATGGACAGGAAGTGACCGTATCTGAGGAGGACATAGAGACCTGTCAATCACTCTAAATGGACCATCAGTCACTAGACGAACATCACGCTGCACTGAAGAAGACTTGAAACTGGAGACTGAGACCATGAACTCATGTTTACAATGTTCACTGAGGGAATAAATCCAGATGTTGAAGATGTTTCCTCCTCCTGCAGTACTCCAAACAGGTGGACTCCAGGTTCGGGGCCTACGTGGCGTGCGCCTCCCTCGTCTTTCTCTTCATCTGCTGCATCCAGGTCGTCATCGTTCCAGCGTGAGTCATAACCAGCGTAACGCGACGTGGATGAATATGTATGTACACACATCCATACGAGTCGTGACCAGCATCACTGCTCCTCGCAAACACCTTTCATTAACGCCGTCATGTGACGTGAAGGCCGCAGTGAGTCTCTCCACCTGTAGCTGATGCACCTGTAAACACTAACGCAGACTCAGTGTACGAGTGAAACTCATCTCAGGAGGTGATTAAACATCAGTGTAGCTTCGACTGCAGACGTTGTTCTATCGTCTGTCTTCTCTGCGTCTGCAGCTCCGGTCTGATGGCGGGCTTCTTCGCCGGGGGCCTGGTCGTCCTGGCGGCCGTCATGCTGGTGTCCACCGTGTACTGCTGCTTCGGGGTCAGTTCCCCCCCGATGCTCCTCTTCTTCTGTGGAACACGTAACCTGACCTTTAACCCTTCCGGCGGCCATGCAGTCGTGGCTTCCTGTGCAGCGATGAGATGATTGTCGATGCCTCTCTGCACAAAGCGCCGCCGCGCCGCCTCTGACGGGGTCGTTTGCTCATACTTGAATGACCTTTGACCCCAGGTGTTCCCCGCGGGCCTGCAGACGCTCTCTAAGAGGATCGTACGCTCCAGACTGAACAGCACGCTGGTGGGCGTCTTCACCATCATCGTCGTCTTTCTCTCCGCCTTCATCAACATCGTGAGTGAGCCCCCCCCCACACACCTACCCCCCCCCCGGCTCGCATCCCGACACTGACCTTTGACCTCCTGCAGTTCACCTGCAGCAGCCTGGACCTGCGGAGATGCCTCGGGGCGGAGCTTAACGTCAGCCTGGCCACCGCCTGCCACGCCCACCTCCTCAACGTCAGCCTGGACGCGCCGCTGAGCCTGTGTGGGGGCGACGCCCTCGTCTGCAGCTTACCTGAGGTACAGGTGTGCCCCCCCACCCCCCCCACTGCTTCACCCTGCCTCTGGGCCTCCTCGATTCCCTGACGCATGTGGAGATGTAGTTCCTGAACAAGGAGGGAGATTTAAAGGTGAATGTGACTCTCCCCCCCGTCTCCCCCCTGTCTCCCCCAGTACTTCTCCTCCTGTGTGCTGCTCAGCCTGCTGGCCTGCTCCGTCTTCCTGCAGATCAGCAGCATCGGGAAGCTCTTCCTCATGCTCTTCATCGAGCTGCTCTACCTGCTCGTCATGGAGGTGCCCAAAGTGAGCCTCTTCGACAACCAGGACCTGCTGGTGACGGCCAACGCCATCGCCGCCGCGTGAGTCATCGTGCGCGTGTAGATCCTGTTGTTCTGTTGTTCTGACAGCTCATTGGTTCTGCTCTGCTCCTCCCCCCTTAGTGCCAACCACACAAACGGGACGAGGTGAGCAGGACGGCGTCACCTGATCGAGCTAGCAGCGTCCGTATCGCTGATGCTAACGAGCTAACACGAGTCCGTCTTACACCCATACTGTGACTGAAAGACCTAATGTGTGTGTGTGTGTGTGTGTGTGTGTGTGTGCCCGCTGACCTCCAGCTGTGACGTGGACTCCAAGGTTCCTCTGAAGATCATGACCCCGGTGGTCATCACCGTCTTCGTCCTCGCCCTCTACCTTCACGCCCAGCAGGTGGAGTCCACGGCCAGACTGGACTTCCTCTGGAAGCTGCAGGTCAGTGTGTGTGTGTGTGTGTGTGTGTGTGTGTGTGTCCACAGACCGTTTGTAAGTGGATGTACTTATGAAGTGACAGGAAGTGATCATAAATGAACTGAGGAGGACGTGAAGACACCATATATGTCTTTATGGCGTTTTCATCTGTCAATCAGCGTGTAGCCCCGCCCCCAAAGCCTGAGGGAACTTTAAGTATTTAGAGGTATTTTGTGTTCAGTCATTCGGGTTCATCCTCTGGGGACCACGAGCACGTGCTGAACCTGTGTGTACTTCCTGCTTTGAACCCGCCCACCCTGACAGGCCACTGAGGAGAAGGAGGAGATGGAGGAGCTGCAGGCCTACAACCGCCGCCTGCTCCACAACATCCTGCCCAAGGACGTAGCCGCCCACTTCCTGCAGCGCGAGCGCCGCAACGACGAGCTCTACTACCAGTCGTGCGAGTGCGTGGCCGTCATGTTCGCCAGCATCAGCAACTTCTCAGAGTTCTACGTGGAGCTGGAGGCCAACAACGAGGGCGTGGAGTGTCTGGCGGCTCCTCAACGAGATCATCGCCGACTTCGACGAGGTGAGAGGCGACGGGAGAGAAGGGGAGGAGCGAGAGAGAGAGAGGGGACAATGGGGAGGAGCGAGAGGAGGGAGGAGGGGACAAGGGGAGGAGGGAGAGGAGAGAGGAGGGGACGGGGGGAGGAGGGAGAGGAGGGAGGAGGGGAGGAGGGAGAGGAGGGAGGAGGGGACAAGTGGAGGAGGGAGAGGAGGGAGGAGGGGACAAGGGGAGGAGGGAGAGGAGGGAGGAGGGGACAAGGGGAGGAGGGAGAGGAGGGAGGAGGGGACAAGGGGAGGAGGGAGGAGGGGACAAGGGGAGGAGCGAAAGGAGGGAGGAGGGGACAAGGGGAGGAGGGGAGGAGGGAGAGGAGGGGACGAGGGAGAGGAGGGACGACGGGACAAGGGGAGGAGGGGAGGAGGGAGAGGAGGGGACGAGGGAGAGGAGGGACGACGGGACAAGGGGAGGAGGGGAGGAGGGAGAGGAGGGGAGGAGGGAGAGGAGGGACGACGGGACAAGGGGAGGAGGGGAGGAGGGAGAGGAGGGGACGAGGGAGAGGAGGGACGACGGGACAAGGGGAGGAGGGGAGGCTAAACGCTAAACGCTGTCCTCGGCTCCCTCGTGTGGAAGATGTGGCCGATGGATGTGTAACTCCTCCCCCCCTCCAGATCATCAGCGAGGACCAGTTCCGCCAGCTGGAGAAGATCAAGACCATCGGCTCCACCTACATGGCGGCCTCCGGCCTCAACGACTCCACCTACGACCGGGCGGGGCGCTCGCACATCCGCGCGCTGGCGGACTACGCCATGAGGATGATGGACCAGATGAAGTACATCAACGAGCACTCCTTCAACAACTTCAAGATGAAGATCGGTGAGGCGTGGCGGGGGGTTGGTGGGGCGGCGGGGCGTGGTCAGGCGGGGGGGCGGTGGCGTTAGCGGGAACCGCACTGATGAACAGCATTTATGGTAAAGTGGTGTCTTCGCTCTCAGGCCTGAACATCGGGCCTGTGGTTGCCGGGGTGATCGGCGCCAGGAAGCCTCAGTACGACATCTGGGGGAACACGGTGAACGTGGCGAGCCGCATGGACTCCACCGGCGTGCCGGAGCGGATCCAGGTGAGTTCCTCTTTAGGGTCACCTGGCTGCACGAGGTCAGATACATTAGGGCTTAATTAAAGTAAAAGGATCAGCTGGTTTCCTGTTTTCAGAGCTGATTCATTTCGTTTGGTCCCAAACAGCTCGGAGCCGACGGCTGGATGAGAGAAGGAGAAATTTAATGAAAATGTTCAGTAAAAAAACTCCTTTATTGTGAAGCCTAATAACTAAGCTATTCACAGATGGAACATTTATTCAGAATCTTAATTATGCAGCCGAGCTTCGTGATGATGAAGAACTCGATGAGTCGGCTCAAACTATTGATTATCTGCAATCTGCAAAGAGCTGAGGTCACATTCAAAGGGAAGAAATACTATTATAGTTCATTCTGGGTTTTAAAGGCTCCAAAGGCTCAGGGGAACATAATGTACCTAACAAGACACATGATAAGTGCATAAGAGCAGCGTGTGACTTCAATGCAGAAAATGATTCAGTGTAAGGGCTTAAAATACTGAAAATGTACAAATATTCTGTATCTTGGATTACGACTGAAATTTGCGTTAATCTTTTGGTTAGTGTGACTCCTCCCCCTTTCTGTCCTCAGCTGATTCCACATACGTGACCCCTCCCCCTTTCTGTCCTCAGCTGATTCCACATAAGTGTGACTCCTCCCCCTTTCTGTCCCCAGCGGGTTCCACATAAGTGTGACCCCTCCCCCTTTCTGTCCCCAGCTGGTTCCACATACGTGTGACCCCTCCCCCTTTCTGTCCTCAGTTGATTCCACATACGTGTGACTCCTCCCCCTTTCTGTCCTTAGCTGATTCCACATACGTGTGACCCCTCCCCCTTTCTGTCCTCAGCTGATTCCACATAAGTGTGACTCCTCCCCCTTTCTGTCCCCAGCGGGTTCCACATACGTGTGACTCCTCCCCCTTTCTGTCCTCAGCTGATTCCACATACGTGTGACCCCTCCCCCTTTCTGTCCTCAGCTGATTCCACATACGTGTGACCCCTCCCCCTTTCTGTCCTCAGCTGATTCCACATAAGTGTGACTCCTCCCCCTTTCTGTCCCCAGCTGGTTCCACATACGTGTGACCCCTCCCCCTTTCTGTCCTCAACTGATTCCACATACGTGTGACTCCTCCCCCTTTCTGTCCTCAGGTGACTGCAGACATGTACCAGGTGCTCAGCTCCTACAACTACACGCTGGAGTACAGGGGGCTGGTCACCGTGAAGGGCAAAGGGGAGATGATGACCTACTTCCTCACTGGTGGACCCCCGAGCAGTTAACCTCCACCCAGTGAGATGTGGACTCACCTTTGGGGGGGCGGGGGGGGCTCTGACAGGCTGACGGACCTCTGATGGTTTAAGCTGGACTGAGACAGACTTCTCACATGTTACCTTCTTAAACTGAGGCCACATGGCGGACGGGTCAGGAGACTCCTCCCCAGGGCGGGTGGGCGGGGCCGGAATCTGAGACCAAAGATGTCCAATTGGTGGAGACATTTGTTGCCAGCTGAAGGAGACTTTTATGTTTGGCCTCCTGGACAACATGAGTGCGTGTATTTGTATTTTTATGTACCGTGTACTATGTACTATGTACTATGTCTGAACTCCCCTCCAGGTTGTCGCAGTAACGGTACGAATCGGTGGAGGTCACGACCCCCCAGAGGCATGGTCAACGAACGGACAGACAAACACACAAGAGGACGTCAAAGAGGAGCCTTTTCTAATCTTGACCTTTTTGTATTTTGACCTTTCGAACACCAGACCCCCCCCAGATATTTTCAGATTCTATATTTTGTACATTAATATATTTAGAGATGTAAACCGGCACGTTCCACATTGGCCGCTGTAACGCACAGCAGCAGACGCCCCCCCCTCATCAGATGGTACGACCCAATGAATGTCCAACGATCTCCGAGAGGCCTTTCAATGTGATGATGATGATGACGAAGAGGCTCATCCTGCTGTGTTGTTTGGTGACGTCACGGCGTTACTCAACATGACGTTGGTACCAACACGACAGCTGGTTCTGTTGGTCTGGGTCACGTGGACCACGAGAGACGGCAAATAGGAGAAAGTTTAAAGGATGAAGAGGAGCGACATCAAACTAAGTCAGTTTGGACTTTTCTCTCGAGGCGAAGCTGCTCAACAGCTTTAATTTGTGTTTAATGCACATTAGAGATTTACGTTGAATCAAATTTAAATTAACCAAGAAAATAATTACATATGGAAATAAAAATATAATTACTATTTTAATAGATTTATCTGTGATTAAATCTCAGAGCTGCTACCGGAGCTCCGATTGGCCGGCTCAAAGTCTTCAATCAGAGCTCTGCTGCTCTTCAACTTCTGAATGAATGAATCCACAAAGTTTTATCTAAGAGCTTTTTAAAAATGCTTCATTTTAGAATGTTTGAGTCACGTTCAAATCATTTTATAATACTTTGAATGCAAGTAATAGTTTTTAAAATGATAGGTCCAATTATATGTTCCCGGGATGAATACAAAGACGACCTGCTCGGACTAAAACGAGCTTTTCTCCCAATGCGTCAGAACCACCAGGGGTCAGAGGTCAGGAGTCCATTTGTCATCTCAAAACACTTTGCTCTTTTTTTCTTCTCAAATAAACTGCAGAAGTGTTTCACGGTTACGCTTCAGCTGGTTGCTGCTCAGGTAGATTCACCTGGAGGGAGGTTCACTCATACGCAGGTTGTGGGTTCTAATCCCGGGAAGAACAGTGAACCACTGCGTCGCTGCTATAAACGTAATGCACAGAGGCATGAAGGGCCGCCCAGCAGGGGGCAGCAGCGAGGCATGAAGGGCCGCCCAGCAGGGGGCAGCAGCGAGGCATGAAGGGCCGCCCAGCAGGGGGCAGCAGCGAGGCATGAAGGGCCGCCCAGCAGGGGGCAGCAGCGAGGCATGAAGGGCCGCCCAGCAGGGGGCAGCAGCGAGGCATGAAGGGCCGCCCAGCAGGGGGCAGCAGCGAGGCATGAAGGGCCGCCCAGCAGGGGGCAGCAGCACCTCTTCATCACCACATTCATACAGTGAGTGAACTAACGACCATCTGATGGGAAACTTTGCGCGCTGGAGGCTCGTCTTCAGGCTCAGATGTTTGGTGTCACCTGACAGAAGAAAGACGAGGTCGTTGTCATGGTAACGTCCTACATATTTTTAATAATGGTGCAGATATGTCATTTCACATCTTCATCTGCAGCATTAAAACATTACAAACAAATGTTCAGCACGTTCTTTAAAAATCAAAAACAAGCCATGCTGAGCAGAGCAGTGAGGTCATGTGGGTGTGGACGCCACATTCTCCCATGAGCCTCTCTGACTCACGGCGCTCCACTTTTTTGCTGGGAATGTTGGCAGGAAATCCTCCTGGAACCAAATGTGCCAAATGCGGAGGAGCGGCGAGCTCCACGGGCCGAGGACAGTGACCCTGGGGGGGTGGAGAGGGGGAGGTCCTGCAACAGGAGGTGCTCTTAAATACAAACAAACATTCCATTGATAATAAATACAGGCTGGATGAGGGCAGCTTTGCATAGTCTAAACCTTTAGAGTCCTGCACCGGGTCGCTGCACATGGGGACAAAATAAAGTGCATGTGACGCACGCGCAAAACAAACTGTACAAAAACCCCTCAATAAAACGTACACTTGTTTATGCCCATATTTCCAGATAGTAATAATCAGATCAAATAGAGGTGAACATCTGTTAGCTTAGCTTTAGCCTACTGATCAGCAACGAGCTGGTGCAGGGAGAGAGGACACCTGCAGAACACCTGCAGACCCTGATGGTGGTTCTTCCTGAGCTGGGACAGTTCACGCCCGCCCGCCCCCCCCCCAGACTCCCTTCACACGTTGTAGTCCGGTGCCTTGCCCAGCGGCTGCCTCAGTTTGATCTGCAGCGTCATGAAGGCCCCGACCGCCACGTGGAAGAGGATCTGCCACACGTTCCTCTGCTCGTACAGATACGCGTTGGACAGGCAGATGAGCGCCAGCGCCAGGAAGGACTTGATGCTCCTCCAGAGGGAGAAGTAGAAGAACAAAAAGCACTGGGGGGGGGGGGGAGAGAGAGAGAGAGAGGTGGGGGTGCTGCACCATGCTGGAGCAAACGCACAGTAACATTCATTCATGGTGTAAATGGATGAAGACACACAGGAACGGCAGTAACTGCTTAAAATATGTTAGCCAGTAAACAGGAAGTGACCATATTTGGACTGAAGAGGACGTAGAGACCTGTCAATCAGCGCGTAGCCCCGCCCTAAATCCCCTGCCTCATGGTCCGTGTCTGAATGGACCATCAGTCACTAAATGAACAGCATAATGTATTGAAGACTTAAACCATAAACTGAGGGAATAAATCATGAGAGAACGCAGCTTTATAGGATTAAATATCCTGTATACACACTTTAGTCTACAGTGAAGGCCATAAGGCCTGTGTGTGTGTAAGAATATAAACCCTGAGGTAAATAATGGAAACTGTTCCATTCTATGAGGTCATTGGTGCACATGAACAGCTGACGTCGTCAACGAGCCTCCTGTCTGATGCTGTGAGTGCAGCGCATCACTTACCTGATAGAGACAGGCCGCCGTGCCCAGGAAGAAGGCAATCACATAATTAAAGTCCTCGTCGTCGTTCTGCACAGCGGAACAAAGAAGAAGGCTTTTTGTGTCCAGACGTAAAAGCTACATGAAAGAAAATCCATCTCACTTTTCCGTCTAGTTTAATAGAATCTGACGGGCAGAGTGAAGCTCATTCAACATTATCTTCCCGGGTTCTGACCCGTTACAGGTCTCGTGCACCCTGTAACGTGCTGGTAAAGTTTGACGTGGCCCCGTCTGACCTGCAGGATGCTCTCGATGGCGTGGACCCCCCTCAGCAGGTTGAGGCCTCCACACAGGAGGCTCAGCACGCAGGACACGATGCCGGGAAGAGTCACCGGCTCCAGCATCTGGGAGGGAGCTGCAGGAGAGCAGACCAAGGTCACCTTCAAGCCGCCTATTCTTCATACAGGGGGGCTGGAGACGGGGACCACCTCTTTGTAGCGCGCTTTCAACCAAACATTCCTCACAGATTTCAGTCCATATTGACATGATAGCATCACGCAGTTACTTGAGGTGGGGAGAGGGGGGGGGGGTTCCTTGGCTCACTCTGGGCCCCTTAGCGCGCGCCCCCCCCCCCGAGCATGTTTGAATGCTGCAGCTGACCATGTCCATCGCAGGAGGACCACAGTGGACCAGCTTCCAGCAGCATCGCAGAACGAGTCACAATAACAGGAAAAGATTTCATCTCCTTCAATAACGGACCAAGTTACCGTTAACTTCATAAAATAAGGGAATATTTAGAAGCTGATGTTATTCTGTTGGAGGAATAAACTCACTTGTAGAAAAAGAAACATCATCCGACAGAGAAAAGAAGACACCAAATGCAGAATAAGAATATTACTACTAAAGTGAATAGAAGCTTTTGTGTTGAATTGTACGTCATGAAAACTCATTTCAAAAGGTGCAATCAATGAAATGTGTGTGTGTGTGTGTGTGTCCTACCGAGGTCTTTGTACTTGGAGGGGGGGCGGGTGGACGAGCCGCTGACGGCCTGCAGGTCCTCAGCAGAGAGCTGGTAGGGGGGCCGCAGCCGGATCTCCGTCTGCATGTCGGCCAGGCTGCTCTTGGTGGAGAGGGAGCGGGGGCTGTTGTAGCGCTGCTTGGTCTTCTGGATGAAGGTGTCTGGTGGAGGACAGGTGGGGGACACCCGTGGGACAGGAGTCAACTCAGGGCTTCAGTATTTACCCGATGCCTCAAACACCAAGACACCAGGTCCTCAGACACCAGGTCCAAGACACCAGGTCCTCAGACACCAGGTCAGCGCTCACCGAACTCGATGAAGGAGTAGGGCCGCACGGCGCTGCGGATCCGCTTGGAGTCGTAGGTGACGATGAATTCCTTCTGCAGCTCGTCCAGGAAGCAGAAGGCCAGCACGTTGGGGTAGTTGGCAGTGCAGACCATCAGGTACCCGACTCCCAGGGCACTCGTGAAACTGAAAAACAAACTCAATTCATTCAATTCACGCCTTCTCTGAAAGGTCACCGGGACAACAAGACCACAAAGAGCTTTTCCGATTCTGCAGAATGCCGCTAATATTATTTCAGCACATGAGCAGAGCCTGAACGCATCACGGTGTAATGGAAGTAAGCCTCAGTTGGTGAGCGGTTAGATGATAACGGTACTAGCGCCTCCTTCTTGATCTAAACAGTGATTGGTTGTTTACAATGTCACATGATCAGAGACGAGATAAACATCAATCACCATCACCAATAGCTGTGGTGAATATTGGATGGTACTACTTCATTTACACGTTTCATAAACAATCGCTGTTGAAAACGACCACATTGGAGTTGCACGGGGAAACGCGACCTACTTGACGTTGTACAGGCCGGCCTTCAGCGTGCAGCGGTCGGGGAACTGGCCCAGCTTCTTGGAGAGACCCTTGAGGTGCCTCTTGGTCTCCTGCAGCTCTTTGTCCTGCTCGTAGTCGGTGGAGGCAGAAAGAGGAAGGCCGTCGGCCACCCGCACCACGGAGGAGAACAGCACCGCGGACATCTTACAGCTCGGGCCTCTAGGTCCTGCAGACCCCAGGGAGGAGACACGGGTCACGCAGGCGCTTCACCAGCAGACTCCGGATCCAAACAACAACCTGGGACTTTAGTCCAAAATATAACATCAAAGAAACGTTACAGGGATCAAAGTTTGTCATGTGAGAACTTGAATACTTGACACAACCAAAAACATTCTTTCCGCATTTTAATCTCTTAATTGATCAATGTGGCAAACATTTTCTAACTTTAACACTGCTTTTTGAAACGATCATTGACAACAATGACTATCAGTTGGACTAGAGCAGAAAAGTGTTTTTCCTTGATGTTGAAGTTTGTGAGCAGTTCTTATATGCTGTAAATCGCTAACTCGTAACTCTTGTCGTCTCCCTCCTGGACTACTGTAACTCTCTCCTGCAGGTCTCCTGCTGCCACCATTCCACCTCTGCAGCTCATCCACAATGCAGCAGCTCCACTGGTCTTTAACCGTCCTAAGTTCTCCCTCACTCCTCCACTCTCTTCACTGGTACCGGTGGCTCATCCAGTTCTAAACATGGTGCTCCTGTACCAGGCTGTGAATGGATGGGGTCCAGCTTACATCCAGGACCTGGTCAAACCCGACACCCCGACCTCTGACCTCTCCGCTCTGCATGTGATAAACTGCTTGTTCCTCCTCACTGAGAGCAAAACACTCGACTAGATCTCCACTCTTTGCTGTCCTGCTCCTACATGGTGGAAGGAGGTCTCTGAAGACACCAGGACCACAGAGAGCCTTCACATCTTCAGACTAAAGACACACCTCTTCAGACTCTACCTCCACTAACACACTAACTACCTGCAGCACTTACATTGGACTTATAATGGTTCTTATCTACAGCAAGTTGTAAACTGGCTCATTTGTTTCTTGTTCTTCTGAGTTTGTGTCCTTGTGGTTAAATAACTTATTGTAAGTCGCTTTGGATAAAAGCGTCAGCTAAATGACATGTGATGTAATGTGAAACTATTGTAGCCGACAAAACCTGTTTGTGTCCCTTGCATCTGGCAGGAGGCTGAGGTCCATCAGGACCAAGACCTCACAAGACCACACGAACAGCTGTTTCCCGTCTGCAGCCGGGCTCATCAACAGAACTCGGTCCCCCACTGACTGACTGACATCCCACCGTCACTCCCTTCACATGTACACACACGCGTTCGTATCCTTATGGTTGAATGCGCTTTGTCAGTCGCTTTGGATAAAAGCGTCAGTTAAATGACGTGTGATGGAATATTCCTGTACTAAATTGTACACATTATTTTTTTTCTCTATTGAACTCTACACGTAGTCTTATATTAACGGACAGGTCCTTCAACCAAATATAGGGGCCGAAAGAAGATGAATAAACAACCACAATTAAGTAACTTTACGTCAATAACCAGTTCAATCAACTTAACCAAAAGAACAGCAAGACGTGACAGGTTGAAAGGGGGAGGCGTTGCTAAGTTAGCCAGCTAGCAAGCGGCAGGCTAAGTTAGGAAATAGTATGTTTAAATCCCCTGAGCGTCACATCTGATGGCATTGGAATCAGCATACTAGCTTACTAAAGGTTCATGTTTCCTACAAAGCTTATATAACGAAAACAGTCAACTTGAAATATAACAAAACTAGCCAACTGTCTACGCCTGACCGGGTTAAGACTGCTAGCTACTGTTAGCAGCTAACTGCATTAGCCTGCTCTCCAGCAAATGTCCCGCTAGCGTGCTAACAAGCTAACAAGCTAGCTTCTCTGCTCACAACACAAAGGCTTTGAGTTCAGAACAGCCGAGAATACAACCGAGAAGGTCAGCGTGGTGGATTTTAAACACTTACCCGGAAAAGTGTAGCATCATGTGGACATTTATCTCGTGCAGCTACGAGGCTGCGCAGGTTGCCAGCGAGCTCGCGACAGTACGTGTTGACGTGTGTGTCGCGGGGCATTGTGGGTAAAGAAAGCCTCTCATCAGCATCACAGAGAAAAAACACAAATGCCGTGTGAATAAAATAAATATTTGCATGACATTATTCCCAGTTAAACTAAAAAATAAAACAGCATTTCGGAAGTAGGAGCACGCAAATGAAATACAGTATTTATCATAATCATATATTTCACTTTTCATTAAATTAAGCAAAAACAAAATCAAGCATATGGCGGTAAGGAACTGTAACTTCCTTGGATATTCATTTATTTTTGTACTCTACAAATATGTATTCCTATTTATTTATTTTGCTCTACAGTTGCCTGTATTTTTGTTGATACAAATGGGGACTTTGTCTATACATTATTTTATAGACAATTTAGTTCTTGGAACTAATGTTGTGGGTCGTGTGGACTAACATTTGCTTATTAAAGGCGTCCATAAACATGTTTTGACAGCATTCTTTGGACCTTGAACATTTATTGAGTGTAAAACATTTGACCTTAGATATTTTGGGAGGTAATATATATATTTTTTATTTTACATATTTTGACTTTTTCTATCAAAATATTTTTCAGCCTGATTTTTTTCAAAAAGAATAAATTGACTTCAGATATTTTAACATTCATTTCAAAAACATTTTTTGACACCTTACATATTTTGACTTTTTTAAAAACAGTTTTTGACTTATTTCTTCCATGACCCTTTTCCACCTTACATAATACTTTTTCAAAAATATTTTCTACCTGATAATGTGGTCCTACTATACTTTCATCAAATACTAATTGTGTTTTTTAAAACATTTTTTGATTTTAGACATTGACCTATTTCCACCTTACATATTTTGAATTTTTTTCATGACATTTTAAGACAATGTACTTTGACATCGACATTCTCATGACCTTATTCCAGTTTTCATATTTATCCGAAAAATAATTGAATTTTTTTAACCTGTTGTCTTTATTTCCATGACATTAAGACAATGTATTTTGACCGTTTTTCAAAACAGAATTGGATATTTATCATTTCTCCAACTTAATTTTTTCACCTTTTTCACCTTACATATAGACTTTATTGAAATTTGTATTTTTTTCATGACATTTTAGACACATTTTGAATTTTTTAAACATTTCCCAACCAGACTTAATAAAAAAATTAACATTTTTTGAAAACATTTGAAACACCTTTTTTGACCTAATATTTTTGAACTTTTTTCCTGCAACATTTCCCACTGTTGACCTGATGGTGGCGCTAGAGACATTATTATTATTAGGAATGTCCATTACTAGATCAGATGCGACTGAGATAATAAATTATTCATTAAAATCTTTTTTCTCCACAAAAATTATTGTAGAATAGAGGACACAATATTCTCGTTCACCAACACTCTTTATGAAAAGAAAAAAACAAATGGAAAAAAATTGTTGGAAAAGTTTGACTTTATTATCATTTCTTCTGAAATGTGTTCTTAGAGAGTCTCGCGTGTGCGATTCCTCACAGAAGGACAAACAGCTTTTATTTGGGGTACAAATGGAAACAACATTTAAGAGCCGGAGAATGATTTGGATTTCACAAGCTAGTTCCCTTTAAATTGTTTCGCTTTCCCTGAGACCCTTATTCATGAGTAAAAAAAGCAGATTATAGATATTTCTGGTGGGTTTGAACGCACCACAGTGAGACCCGAGGTCTCGTAGAGTCATCCGGCGGCTCCTCGCACGCTGTCTGGACGCAGAGGTGTACTGTGGGATATTTGGCTGGAATCGACGGGAACGAGGTGGTTATGTATGTTTATGATCACCATGTTGCTTGCAGTATGCAAATGAGGCCAGAGGTCGTGACGTCAACATCTGGGGAATATTTGGCGGTTCATCATTTTCTTTTTATTTCACATCTTTAAGGCCACAGGTTGGAAAAAAAACTTCAAAAAGAAAGAAAAAGGGAAGCAGAGCCCGAAAGCACCTGGAATAATAGACCCCCGTGGTGCCCCCACCTTTACCCACCACAGCGCATCACTGAGACCCCCCCAGTAGGGATCCTTGTTGCATAGATAAAATATAGAGTGTAGCTCTTCACACAGTGTCAGAAGTCTCAAGTTTACAAACGTCATCGGTGGCGTATAAAAAAAGAAAAGAAGAAAAGCCTTTTGAGCTGAGGTCATCAAGTCTCCCACCGTCAGTGCTGCTTGTGGGGGGGTTCAGAGGTCACGATGCAATGCGTCCCTCCCTGCGCACCTCAGAGCTCCTCCTTCCTCTTGACCACCTTCTCCTGGTCGCGGCCTCGCAGGCTGCGCATGAATCCGATGAAGCCCGTCTCCTGTGGAGAGAAACCACGCCATTTAGTTTTTAAATCAACCGGTGGACAAGGAGCGACCTCATCTGCACCCAGGAGGACGTAGAGATGTCGTTTAGGTCTACAGACCTAAATGAACATCATGCTGTATTGAAGAAGACTTGAAACAATCAGCGTGTAGCCTCTGCTTTATAGTCTGTTTGACTCTAAATGAAATGAAGAAGACTTAAACTAGAGACTGAGACCATAAACTCATGTTTACAACGTTTACTGAGGGAATAAATCAAGAGAGAAGTAGAGTCATTTCCTCATAGACGTCTATGGGAGCAGAGGAGTCGCCCCCTGCTGGTCACTACAGAGAAGTAGAGTCATTTCCTCATAGACGTCTATGGGAGCAGAGGAGTCGCCCCCTGCTGGTCACTACAGAGAAGTAGAGTCATTTCCTCATAGACGTCTATGGGAGCAGAGGAGTCGCCCCCTGCTGGTCACTACAGAGAAGTAGAGTCATTTCCTCATAGACGTCTATGGGAGCAGAGGAGTCGCCCCCTGCTGGTCACTACAGAGAAGTAGAGTCATTTCCTCATAGACGTCTATGGGAGCAGAGGAGTCGCCCCCTGCTGGTCACTACAGAGAAGTAGTCATTTCCTCATAGACGTCTATGGGAGCAGAGGAGTCGCCCCCTGCTGGTCACTACAGAGAAGTAGAGTCATTTCCTCATAGACGTCTATGGGAGCAGAGGAGTCGCCCCCTGCTGGTCACTACAGAGAAGTAGAGTCATTTCCTCATAGACGTCTATGGGAGCAGAGGAGTCGCCCCCTGCTGGTCACTACAGAGAAGTAGAGTCATTTCCTCATAGACGTCTATGGGAGCAGAGGAGTCGCCCCCTGCTGGTCAGGAGAGAGAATGCAGCTTTAACTCGTTATAGGACCGTAGTTTCCTGCCGGATGTTGCTGGAGTTTGAACCCTTTGATATTGAACAAAGCTTGGCTTAATTCTAAACCAATTAAATTAACCTCGGTCAGTAACAATTAGTACAGTGATGAGATCATCTTCTGCAACGCTCCCACCCCCCATTAAAGGCGGTGTTGCTTCACTGGGCTTTTAATGCCTCTTAAGACTGACAGCGTGGATTTAAAGAGCTGTTAGAGGTGTGATCTAAGGGAGGCTCCTGGGGCTCCCTCCTCACACAGCAGGAGGAGCATTTAATGAAGTCCGGGGGGACCTCCGGGCCAAGCAGAGAGCTCCTGTCTGCTTTTCCCAGGAAGGACAGGAAGCGGGATTTGTGCGTCGACTCACCCCGCGATCTCCGTTGTACTTCTCCACGAACTTGCCGTAGTTGTAGTGGTTGAACGTCGGGTAGCCCTCCACTCCCTCCTGCTTGCAGAGCTCCTGGTTCTGTCCCCTGGTACAGTCCACGGCGGCGTACACGATCTGAGGAGACGCAGGGGGGGGTCTGTTCAGAGCCAAGCAACCAGACTCCATTCACAGGGGAGGAGGAACCTCCTGTGAGCCGAGAGGCTTTAATGAGTCTGCTGTGTTTGAAGAGATCACAGACGGCAGCTTCACTTCTGCTCAGAAAGGTGAGAGTTCTAAATACATTGATTATTTTAGGAGACCGATAATCCTCCTCAGGACGCACATCAAGCTTCCGATTGGTAAAGAGACATTTCTCCGTTTGGATTTTAGCATTCTCCCCACGAGGGTTCAGTTAATAGAAGCTCCGTTTTATCTTCGCTTGAGGAGAGATTGAGAAAATAAAAGCGGTGTCATTCCTCCGCTAACAAAAGCCAACAGCCTTCAGCTTCTTTATACCACTCGGCTCATGTTACATCCTTTTATTCTTCTATAACAATGATTTGAATTCACAGATTCATCATCCGACACCCATTTTTAAGGAATTCCAAACCAATGAGAGCGTCTAGAGGAAACAACTGAAGCCCAGAGGCCAGGCCGCGATATATGTCCCAGAAGTACGTGTCCTTCGGGACCAATGAACCCGGTGTGTTGTGGCGGCCCGCATCCAGGAGGGCGTCACACCCCGCGAAGGAAGGAGGTGCACGGCCCTCGCAGGATCTTCCGCGGGGCGGTAGCCCTTAAGAAACCGGGGGGAGGCGGGGACCTCGAGCTCTCTTTAGAGTTAACTATCGGGTTCTTTTCGAGCCCTTTATGTTTTCTTTAAGCAAGAAGCTGTTATAAACGTCATTCGTCACGTGTGCTAAAGCAGCCAGAGCTGAGGTCATCGTGGTCTACACTCATATAAACACGTCTCCAGCGTTGAATAGAAGCTCCTCCTGCAGTTGCTTCTACAAAGCAGCACTGACCTTGCGGTCGTCTCTGAAGACCTCTGCTGCTGTGCTGAAGTGGGGGACGGCGTTCTTGCAGTGGGGACACCCTGCAGGACGAGGACGACATGTTGAGGCCTCCATGCAGCGGGGAGGGGCCCCTGGTCAGCTACCAGAGACCCCGAACACCTGCAGACCCCCCAGCTACACCTCCTCCCGTTAGTGGGAGAAACACGTTTACACACAACAACAACAACAACAGCTGAGAGGCCTGGAGGAGCAGAGAGGGGGGGGGGTCCTGTGGAGGAGGAGGAGGAGGAGAGGGGGAGGAGGAGGAGGAGGAGGAGAGGGGGAGGAGGAGGAGACTGACATATTGTGTAGAAGAAGAAGTGGACCATTTGTTCCTAATTATCACATTATTAGTATTTTAATAATAATCCTTTTAAAGCAGCAGAACGTGTTGTTCTATGAGCGGTTTGTTAGTTTGTTGGTCTTTACTTTGTCTCTTTGTACTTTAACGTCGCCCTGAATGACGTTTCTCCTTCTGATCAATGTATGTATATAAATACATATTTATATTAATATCCCCTCTTACACACTGTTTTTAATGGAGGGGCTACAGAAGAGAAGCAGCCTCTACAGAACAAACGTTACTTTAAATAAACGCATTAAACGGCCCTTAAACCTTTAAAGGTTCCACACGCGGTGACCTTTGACCTCCAGACCTCCAGAGGCGTTCCTGTGGCCGAGGAACAACGATGAGCAAACCAATGAGGTCACTCGAGTCTGAGAAATGAGCACAAACAGCGCCTGGCGTTCGTCTCCCCGTTAAACGGGAGAAACGGGGGGAAACGCGAGCGCACTTGTTTTGCAGGCGTGAGTCAGGACGCCGTCTCCCCGGGGCCGAGGCGCGGCTATCGAAGAGGAGCTGGACTTGATTAAAAATCAGGAAAGGGTCCAAGCTGAGCATTGGAAGCTCTTACAGGGAGCGTAGAACATCACCAGGGCGTGCTTCTTCTTCTTCAGCGCCTCGCGGAAATCCTCCAGTCCAAGATGGCTGACGCTGGACGGCTGGTCCTCCCACGACCGCTCTGGTGGAGGCGGAGCCTCAGGGCTGAAGAAGAACCACATTTATTCTACGAGGTGGACGACGTTCAATAGACACGTGAGGGGAGAATAAATAGCAGAAGAAAGAAAAGCAAACAAAGGCTGGACATGCAGACGGTCTGTGAACTAGGGAAAGGTGATGGAGGTGATGGAGGTGACGGAGGTGACGGAGGGGCCCTGCTCACTTGTGCATGAACTCGATG